AAAATATCCAGTAAAAAAATTTAAAAATATCAAATTTCATCATAAATTTAGGTCAAAATGTATTCTGCTATACGTCTTTGCTAAAAAAAAAATCCCAATACATGTAAATTAAACGGTTTATGTGAACATTATAGCGTCTACAAATGGCGGTATATACTGGAATTTTGTTTAAAAAATGTATACTAGTAATGGCGGCGATCAGCAGTTTATAGCGGGACTGCAGCGGGCATTATGACACTAGGGGGGAACTGTCACTGACATCCCAATGATACTAATACAGTGATCAGTGCCAATAAAAAGCACTGACACTGGGCAGGAAGGGGTTAACTGTGTGCTTGGTGATTGCCAGGTGCCAACAGGGAATCTCCAGAACCAGGTGATTGACATCTGTAGCTGCCAATGGAAATGCAAATCATGTATATATATGTGATTTTCAGCAGGTGTTCCACCCTGTAGCAGTACTTCTGCTATAGGGCAGAGGGGGAAGCAGTTAAGTGTGACTGGGTGGGGCTAAATGCTAATTAGGATGTATTCAATCCCCACCCCCACCATCAGAGCTGTGAGGGAAATTACATAATTTACAGAGTCTGAAAGTCTACTGTCAGGGCTCCCAGGTGTGACCAGAGGTGTGTGACTGACGCAGGGAAACGCAGACTTCAGATATGTGATAAACAATATAATTTATTAACAATAACAATACAAACATAAACGCAGTGCAATACTAAACATAATACAGTGCAATCAAACCAAACCAACCACCCACAGATAACAGTACATACAAGCAAGCGTCGTCAGGCAGGCCGGGTCAATATCAATTGGGCAGGTAGGTACAGGGGGAGCAAGCGGAGATTGGTCAGGGTCACAGGCCAGGTTCAGCAGGTAGCTAGCAGTGTAGTACAGAGGGTCAGGCAGAGGGATGGTCAGGGTCACAAGCCAGGGATCAGAACAGGTAGCAGGCAGCGTAGTACAGAGGGTCAGGCAGAGGGATGGTCAGACAAGCCAGGGATCAGAGCAGGGTCAGCAGAGAATCAGACAGGAACAGAGAGCAGGAACAGGATACAGGGCCCAAGAGAAACACAACACCAAGGCAGAGTCTGCAAGTCTGGCCATCCCTTAAATACCCCAGCATAATCAGTTCCAGGTGTTAGCTGGCTGCAAAGTTGAGTCTCTGATTGCTGGGAGCACCCGCTGGCCAGCCCTGGTACTGCAGATCAAAAGGCAGGTGAGTCCCACCATTGCTGGCTAGTCCATTCCTGACAACTACAGAGGGGGTGTATATTGGGCTCTAGTTGCTGCAGGGAGTGGCTGTGGAAGGAACAGCATCTATCAGCAGGATATGCAAAGTGTCACATGGTACAACAACTAAACCCATAATATCGGAATCTGCAGACCATGGAGCAACATGGTACAGAGGTACAGTTGCAAGAAAAAGTATGTGAACCCCTTGGGATTACGTGGAGTTTTGCATGAATTGGGCATAAAATGTGCTCTGAACGTCATCTAAGTCACAACAATAGAAGAACACTGTCTGCTGAACATAATACTACACAAACATTAGATGTTGCCATGGTTTAATTGCACATAACATGTAAACATTCACAGTGCAGGGAGGAAAAAGTATGTGAACCTTTGGACTTAATAACTGGTTGACCCTCCTTTGGCAGCAATAACCTCAACCAAACGTTTCCTGTAGTTGCAGATCAGACCTGCACAATGATCTGGAGTAATTTTGGACCACTCCTCTTCACAAAACTGTTTCAGTGTAGCAATATTCTTGGGATGTCTAGTGTGAATCGCTCTCTTAAGGTCATGCCACAGCATTTCAATCGGGTTGAGGTCAGGACTCTGACTGGGCCACTCCAGAAGGCGTATTATGTGCTGTTGCAGCCATTGTTTTGTTGAATTACTTGTATGCTTTGGGTCATTGTCCTGTTGCATCACCCATCCTCTGCGGAGCTTCAGTTGGCGGACAGATGGTCGTACGTTTTCCTGCAAAATGTCTTGATAAACTCTGGAATTCATTTTCCCATCATTGACAACAATCCATCCAGGCCCTGAGGCAGCAAAGCAGCCCCAAACCATGATGCTCCCTCCGCCATGTTTTACAGTGGGGATGAGGTTTTGATGTTGGTGTGCTGTGCCTTTTTTTCTCCACACATAGTGTTGTGTGTTCTTCCCAAACAACTCAATCTTGGTTTCATCTGTCCACAGTATATTTTGCCAGTAGTGCTGTGGAACATCTAGGTGCTCTTTTGCAAACGTCAAACGTGCTGCAATATTCTTTTTGGACAGCAATGGCTTCCTCCGTGGTGTCCTCCCATGTACTCCATTCTTGTTTAATGTTTTCCTTATTGTAGATGTGTCAACAAAAATGTTAGCATGTGCCAAAGATTTCTGTAGGTCTTTAGCCGACACTCTGGGATTCTTCTTTACCTCATGCAGCATTCTGCGCTGTGCTCTTGCTGTCATTTTTACAGGACGACCACGCCTAGGGAGAGTAGCAACAGTGCTAAACTTTCTCCATTTGTAGACAGTCTGTCTTACCGTGGACACATGAACATCAAGGCTTTTGGAGATACTTTTGTAACCCTTTCCAGCTTCATGCAAGTCTACAATTCTTGATCGTAGGTCTTCTGAGAGCTCTTTTCTGCGAGGCATGGTTCACATCAGACAGTGCTTCTTGAAACCAGTAAACCCAAAACAGGTGTGTATTTTTTAAGGGCAGGACAGCTGTCAGCAACACATCCAATATCATCACACTGATTGGAGTCAAGGTTGGCTCACTCCTGGCTCCAATTGGCTCTGGGAGAAGTCATTAAGCTAGGGCCTCACATACTTTTTCCTCCCTGCACTGTGAATGTTTACATGTTATGTGCAATTAAACCATGGCAACATCTAATGTTTGTGTAGTATTATGTTCAGAAGACTGTGTTCTTTTGTTGTGACTTAGACGACGTTCAGAGCACATTTTATGCCCATTCATGCAAAACTCCACGTAATCCCAAGGGGTTCACATACTTTTTCTTGCAACTGTATGATCTATGCTGGGATCGATCATTCCATTCAGTTCTAGTGAAAAGAAAGTTAGAGTTTAGCTTTAAATATATTAGTAAAAATACTAGGTTTGTGCATAGAAGCTCTTGAAAAATAACTCCAGAAATAGTATGATAAATCAGATTCTTTTGATATTCATAGAGCGATGTCCACTTTCCCCCCTTTTTTTTTGCCCTGGCTATTGAGCCTTTGGCTCACCTGATATGCACAGATAATAATACAGTATCAAGGGATTGGAGCTTGGTGGTCATCACCATAAACTATGTCTGCATACAGTATTTAAATTTTTATAACCTCTCCTCTGACCCCTACTCCCAATCTCCTTGTGGTTCAATCAGTTTGTAGCGATCTAAGGCTTAGTGGTGAATCCATTGCTCTCAATAAAACCTTACCGCTATCCACCCTTTCACAATTTCAGGAGGCTTTTGTCATTCTCTTGGTCGTCTCATCATATTCCCTATCTCGGTATGAAACTTACATCCGACCCATTGGATCTTTACGCCTCCAGTTATCCTCTATGCTGTCCTATCATACCAAACTTTTAACTTCCTGGTACACCCTAACTTTGGTGTGGATAGGTCAGATAACTGCTATCAAAATGTCCCTTTTACCTAAAATATTGTACCTTTTCCATGTCCTACCCATTCCTGTACCGTCTTACTTTACTTTAAGCCATGGGAGTTTATCTAGTGACAGAGGGTGGAGGTGTAGATGGAGAAGAGTAGGGATCCATAGACAGAACCTTGAGGGACCCCTACAGAAAGAGGAAGTGGAGAGGAGGAGACAGAGTTATAGGTAATGCTGAAGGAGCATTGCGATAGGTAGGAAGAGAAACAGGAGAGAGCAGAGTCTCGGAGGCCAAGAGCGTGGAGTTTTTTGAGGAGGGGATGGTCAATAGTATCAAAAGCCGCAGAGAGGTCAAGTAGTAAGAGTATGGAGTAGTGGCCAGTGGTTTTAGCAGTTAGTAAATCATTAGTGAGTTTTAATAGGGCAGTTTCAGTGGAGTGTAGTAAGCAAAAGCCAGACTGTAAAGGCTCAAGAAGGTTGTTTTCAGTGAGGTAGGAGCTCAGGCGATTGTAGACTAAGCATTCTAAGAGTTCAGAGGTAAACGGGAGCAGGGAGATGGGTCTTACGTTTTTCAGAATGGTGGGATCCAGCGAAGGTTTTTCATCTCCTTATTTGCGTACAAATTCCACCCTCCCCTTCATGTCTGCTTTTGAACATACTTGCAAAAGTGACCCATATGCATGAGGGCCTTATTTTCACTCAACATACCCAATTGTTAGCTCTGTCATCCCCTACCTCTCTTCTCTACACTTACAAATGGAAGAGGGATCTTGGACTTCGATTAGAGGCTGAGGATTAAACCAAAATTTGGTCCGCCACTACTACCGTTCCTATGAAAACGATCTATAAAGTTCTTATGAGATGGTAACTGGTTCCTGCCCAGATTGGTAAATTCCTTCCTGCCTATTCCTCTTCCTGTTTCAGTGGCTGTAATAAAGCAAGTACCTACCTTTATATCTGGTGGGACTGTTCGGCTGTTCGAGTCTTTTGGCCAGAGATCTTGAGTATTTATTTGATACTCCACTAGAAGTGGATCCAGCAATTGCTTTGCTTAACTGCCCTAGCAGTCTGATTATGTGAGTATTTCTGACATAATCGGTACATTTTTTTGCATGAAAATATGTTTTGTTTTTTAATTGTAGGCCTGTAATTTTTAGGAATAACTCACTGAAATCTGTCCGAGCAAGAGTCTAATAAACCTCACGGGTATGATAACATTTGAAACACGAAATCATAAACTATAATATAATAATCATAAAAAATATAATAACATTTAATTCAATAATGTAATCAAACCAAAAACACTGAAATTTGAAAAAGAGCGCCAAGTTTGCACATCACTGAGCTTAGTCGCAAATTTTCCCCACCAATCATTATACTCAATTCTGCAAGTGGTTCTAATTTACTATCGCTGTCTGTAGCTGGTCTAAAACTGCTTTTGACCTAAACGGACGCTTTTTGGACGCCATGGACGTTTCCCAGTTTCCAGGCAAAAAGAACAGTAAAAATGCAGGCAGGGCACAGGACAAAGCACTAGGGACAAAATGTATATGAAATGGTTTGATACAGTAATGTTATACTATCAGATTTTTGTGTATTGAGTGAATGTTACATTTTAAAATTTTTGAATTTCCTGCCGGTTCCGTCCCCCGTACGTCTCGACGCTTGCAGGAAACGGAACCCGGAAGAGGGATGCCGGCATCGACCGGAGGAGATGGCCGGGGACGCTGCAGGGGGGACATCGCGGGAGCACAGGACAAGGTAAGTGCTGGAGGGATCCCGGAGCAAAGCTGCAGTGTAATCCCGAGTGTAGCTTGGGGTTACCGTTACACTCGGAAATACCGCCAGGGGGGTTAATAAAAAACCCCTAGACGTGACATTTCGCCAGTTTAAATTGCTGCTACAGATTACCATTGAGGCTAAACAGACTATTGCAAAGGCCTGGAGAGCCCCACCTTAGTGTATCCACAGCCAAACACAGAGTAACACAGGCCATGATACATGCAAAGGTTGAAGCAATCCTTTTGGATATGGTAAGTATGAGAAACTGGAAACCTTGGGTAACACTATTTCCCATCTGATTTCAAGCATTATTGCTTCCCTAATATCTGCGCAGCACATTCCTCCTTGGAATTGTGTTTAGGGCTTCCAAGACCATCCTACCCCCTGTGGCCCCTTCTCCTTTTCTTCCATTTGCCCTTTTTCACTACTTATTCTTACGTTTATTTTTACCAGAAAGAGAGTTCCGTTTCCTCTTCCTCCTATATACATAACTCTGCAGTGCTTTCAAGTGTTAACTTCTATTTGAAGTTCTAGAGGTTTACAGATATCCCTTCCCCATGCCTTATGGGGCTTCGCAGCTCCTCTCTTAGCCACCAGTTGGCTCTCCCCAAGATGGCCCCTGCTCATGCTTTTGGCTGTTTTCCAGAGATGACCTGGATTGATAGTGTATAAGCTACTGCTGTATTGATTACATTTCTCTTTAACAGAATTGCTCAATTGCATACATTGTTGACTGTGATCCATGTGATATAATGTGCCTTCCTAGTTCCTCTTTGATTTTTGGTTTACTTCTGTACCCTTGTACTTTTTGCTGTTTTATTTTTAAATAAACCATCTGAACAAGAAACCAATCAGCTTCCAGGTTTTTTGTCAAATCTTAATTGAACAAGCTGAAGTTAGAATCTGATTGGTTACCATGCACAGCTGCACCAGATTCTGTGTGCTCCAGTTTTAGTAAATCCCCCCTTGTAAATAGAAAAACTGCTTGCATACTGGCTGAATGAAAATAATATTAAAACTAAGTGTATGGCCAGCTTGATCAGTTTCATTGCCATACCTTGTACATTCTCCTTTTGCACTTTTTTAAATAGCATTTTTTTTCTTCCTTTCCTTGTCTTCCTTCAGTCTAATTAAGGGGAGGGGTTAATTGGTCACAGGTGATACAGGTACTATATAACTTGCTGTAGAGCTCGCCTGTATTTTGGTTGCTGGACCTTTCACTAAGTGGACATTTGATAAATGGAGTTAAAATACTGAAGTGGAAAACAGGAGATTATAACAGGAGTCTACTAACCTGTAAGTGACAACTGATATTTTCTATTAATCTTGTAACTGGGATAATGTGTGCTAGCAGGGTTGAAGGTTTTGTGCAGTGCACAGTATGCCGCATGTATACAACAATGGAGCAACAGCTCCAGGATGGATACCGCTGCGACAGATGTGAGCAGATTACCCTTCTGGAAACTCTCAAAAGACCTCTGGAGGAGCAAGTTGCAACACTGGGCAGAACTGACAACCTTGAAAGGGGTCTTCTGCTCTCTGAGAAGGTAGCTAATGGGATTGATGTGGAGGGGTTAACCAGGATTATCAGGTAGGAAGATGGGTTACTGTAACAAGAGGGAGTGGTAGGGGCTCACAGAAAAGGAAGGCTGGCCCCTGGGTTTGTGCACCCAAACAGATTTGCCAAGTTGGGTGAAGATGTGGGGGTGGCAAGCTCAGGAGTGGCAGCCCTGGATGTCACTGCTATCCCTAACAGCCAGGAGGGCAGACCATCTGGGAGGGGTAGTGCAGGAAGGCCTAGACAGCTGGAGGTAGTAGGGGATTCTAGAATCAGGACTGATAGAATAATTTGTTGCCAGGATCGCCTCAACTGAATGGTTTGCTGTCTCCCTGGTGCCGGGGTTTGGCATGTGATGGACCGGGTTGATACATTTCTGGGAGGGTCTGGGCATGACCCAGCTGTCTTGGTCCATGTTGGAACCAATGACAGAATACATGGAAGGTGGAGGCTTCTTAAGAATCAATTTAAATAACTAGGCTGCAAGTTGAAGGGAAGGACCTCCAAGGTGATATTCTCTGAATGAATTACATGTGCCATGCTCAACTCAGGAAAGACAGGTGGAGATTAAATAACTCAATGCATGTCTAAACACCTGATGTAAGAGGGAAGGATTTGGGTTTCTAGAGCACTGGGCTGATTTTTCATTGGGGTGCAGCACATATGCTATAAATGGTTTGCACCTAAATGGAAGGGGGTCTGCTGTGCTGGGGGAGAGGTTTATGGGAAGGCTGGAGGAAAATTTAAACTAGGACAGAGGGGGGAGGAATAATTAGATAACGGGGTAGTTAGATCAGACAGGGGTCAGTACTTATTGGTAGGTGGAATGTGGAAAGATGGGGGGAGGGCTATGGCAGATAAGGTTCCCATGTTACAAACAAACAGTGGAATTGGTACCATTTGTATAAAATTAAACAAATATGCAAAATACGTGTGCCCAAGGTGTCAATTAATTAAAGTGTTTGTTCAATGATGCCAGAAGTTTGCCAAGCAAAATAGGCGAGTTGGAGGCATTGGTGCATGCACAGAATTATGATTTAATTGGTATTGCTGAATCATGGCTTCATTCTGCACATGACTGGGCCATTAATATTCATGGCTATGTTCTCTTTCGAAGATACAGGGAAAAAGAAAAGGTGGTGGAGTCTATCTTTATGTGAGAAGTAATGTGAAAGAAGACTTAGTTGATGGAGAGTATGATGAGGCTGAAGCATTATGGCTGGAACTGCACATGGGGGAGCGTACTACAAAGGTAATCATTGGAGTTTGTTATAGGCCTCCCAATGTTAATGAGGAGGTGGAGACTCAGCTCCTTGCATAGATCAAAAGGACTGCAAGGGCTGGGACAGTGATAATAATAGGGGATTTTAACTACCTGGAAATTGACTGGAGTAATGGTACTGCAGGAACAGTTAAAGGGCAAACATTTTTAAACCTATTACAGGACAATTTTATGGTACAGTTCATAGAGGCCCCAACTAGGAATGATACTCTGCTGGACCTGGTAATCTCAAACCATGCAGAGCTTATTACGAATGTCCATATAAAAGAACAGCTAACATTATTGTTTTCTGTAAACAGCAAGCACATACGGGAAAAATAAAACCGCTCAATTTTAAGAGAGCTAATTTTCCAAGGCTGATAGCTGCTTTCCAAGACTTAGACTTGGAGGGAATATTGGCATCAATTAACACAACACAGAAATAGGAGTTCTTCAAAAAGACTGTATGTGAACACACTGCAAAATATATTCCCATGGGCAACAAATTTAAAAGGCTAAAAAATCAAACCTATGTGGGTTATGGCCAAAGTTAAAAAAGCTATAGATAAGAAAAGGGCTTTTATTAAATATAAAAATGAAAGAATGCTATCATTGTTTAAACATTACAAAGAATATAACAGAATATGGCAAAAGGAAATAAAGGCCGCAAAAATTGAAAATGAACGACAGATTGCAAAAGATAGCAGGGACCAACCCCAAAAAATTCTTCAAATGTATTTAATAGTAATATGATCCGGTCTGAGCATGTAGGTCCTTTACAAAATAAACTAGAGTGGATGACTGAGGACAAAGAGAAGGCAAATTTATTAAATACTTTCTTCAGCTCTGTGTATACAAATGGAGCATGGGGGAGCTCTTGTCCATGACACAGCTCCAGATGATCCACATTGGCTCACAATTGATATGATCCAAAAATATTTCGACAGAATAAAGGTAAATAAAGCATCTGGACCGGATGGCATACACCCACGGGTCTTTAAAGAATTGAGCTCTGTCATTTCAAAGCCATTGTTTCTAATTTTAGGGACTCTTTAATGACTGGCATAGTACCATTGGATTGGCATAAGGCCAATGTGGTGCCTATATTTAAAAAGGGATAAAAATCTTTACCAAGTAATTATAGACCTGTTCGTTTAACTGCTATAGTTGGGAAGATACTGGAGAGTTTAAATAAAAGACCACATAGATGAGTTATTGTTGGAAAAAAATATTTTAAGCAACAGACAGCATGGATTCATGAAAGACAGAAGTCAAACAAATCTGATTTCTTTTTATGAGGAGGTGAGCAAAACCTTGGACAGAGGGGTGGAGGTGGACGTGGTATACTTGGATTTTGCAAAAGTGTTTGACAGTTTCCCACACATGGCTAATGTGTAAGATAAAGTCTACAGGCTTGGAAAAATCCATATGTAAATGGATAAAAAACTGGCTAAAACATCGTATTCAGAGAGTAGTGGTTAATGATTCATACTATGAATGGTCTAGGGTTGTCAGTGGTGTACCCCAAGGTTCAGTGTTGGGACCCTAACTTTTATAAATATCATTTCAGTCTTTGCAGATGACACCAAGGTGTGCAGTGGAATAACATCCTTACAGGATGTCTCCAACTGACAAGCCGACCTCAATGCACTGTTTAATTGGGCAACTATGTGGCAAATGAGGTTTAATGTTGATAAATGTAAGGTTATGCACTTGGGGGCTAAGAATATGCATGCATCATACATATTAGGGGGAGTACAACTGGGGGAATCAATGGTGGAGAAGGATCTAGGAGTTCTGGTAGATCACAAGCTTAATAATGGCATGCAATGCCAAGCTGCAGTTTCTAAAGCAAGCAAAATCCTCTCTTGTATTAAAAGAGGTATAGACTCCAGAGAGAGAGATATCATATTACCCCTGTACAAATCATTAGTAAGACCTCATCTTGAATATGTAGTTCAATTTTGGGCACCAATTCACAAAAAGAACATTGGGGAACTTGAGAAAGTACAGAGAAGGGCAACCAAACTCATAACAAGCATGGAAGAGCTCAGCTATGAAGAAAGATTAGAGGAATTGAATTTATTCTCTCTTGAAGAGATTAAGGGGGGATATGATCAACATGTATAAATACATAAGTG